GGCATTCCAAACTGATCGTACTCGCTGTGGCCAATACCATGGATCTACCTGAGCGTACCCTTTCCAACAAAATCTCTTCACGTCTCGGTATGTCAAACTGCCCTTTGATCTTCGATCCACCATAGCTAACATTAAATTTTAGGTCTAACCCGTATAACCTTCCCCGGCTATACTCACGAACAGCTCCAAACGATCATAACCTCCCGTCTAACCGACGTTCCCGCCCACCTAATCCACCCTGACGCAATCCAATTCGCTTCTCGCAAAGTCGCCTCCGTATCCGGCGATGCTCGTCGCGCCCTTGATATTTGTCGTCGTGCCGTCGAAATCGCCGAATCGGAATCGCTCTCCATCCCGAATACACCTTCTAAAACACCGGGCAAAGAAGAAAAGAGGGGAAAAGGTGTGGTTAGCATAGCAACGGTCAAGAAAGCTATCAATGAAGCGACGACGAGTCCATTGCAACAGCATTTAAGAGCATTACCGTTGGCGACAAAAATGTTCTTGGCTGCGTTGGTATTGAGATTGAGGAGGGCGGGAACAGGGGAGTGTCTTGTGGGAGAGGTGGTCGATGAGTGTAGGAGGATGGCGAAGCTGGATACAGGGGGCAGTGTAGTGGGGTTCTTGCTCACGGGTGCTGGGGCGGCTGGAGGCGTTAATAATGGAGACAGAACCAGAGGCAAACAAGCAGAAAAAGGGGCAAGAGTTCAGGGAATGGGCGAGGCGGCAATGGAATTAATGGAGGCTGGTGTCATAGGAATAGAAGTGAGAAAAGCCGAGAGGATGGGCAAGGTTCGGTTAGGGATTGGAGAGGAAGATGTTAAGGTTGCTTTTAAAGATGATCCGGAGATTAGGGGCTTAGGGTTCGTGGGATAGGGGTAAGGGTAGGAGTAGTGAGAGTTTGGGAACGTGTAAATAGAACGACGGTTAAGTTGATACCCAGTGTTATCATACACACTAAATCAGCATAGCATAGTAATATGAAGAAAAAAGCAGTAATCTCAAGATGCAAATTCCCCAAAATGGCTATCATTCATGTAGCAATGGTATATGTGTGCAATAAGTATTAAAACCACTGCGCACGCAATTTCTTAAAACGCCAAACACGCCCCCAGCTAAACGGCCTAGTCTCGTCTAGCTTCGCCCAAATACCTTTCCGATGCCTTTTTACATTTTCATATTATACATGTGTGTGTTTAGAATTTTCGTCGTCCAAGCTCTGGTTTCCATTCGAGGGGGTGGGATTCGGGGGTTGCGAGTTCGTCTTGTTTCCATACTTTTACTGTTGGGGGGAGGGGTGGTTAGCATTGATTCCTTATGAATGGGGGTGCAAAGGTTGTTGAGGGCAATATGGAAAGAGAAGGGAAGGGAAATGAGGCACATACTAGTTTTGTCCGCCTCTCCCGTGATCAATCTCAACCCAGTCTTATCAAATAAACTCGTAAAGATGCCCGCCTCCGCATCCAAAGAACCCGGTTGGGCGATAGAATCCAGCGCTTGATATCTATGACCTGTTTTCCAATCCCAGAACGCCATCGATCCATTGTCTCCCCCGGAAAATAATACGTTGTCTTCGTTAACACTGAGGGTATTGATAATAGCATTTTGACCATCGAAGTTTTGCATAAAGGCTCCCTCGGGACATTTCCATTGTTTGATGCTTCCTGCGCTGCCACTTGCAAATGTGAATTCTTTGGGATGGATGGCGAGTGCGCGAACACCTTTTTTGTGGTGGGTGAGGGCTCCCATACTTTTTCCAGCTGCTAAATCCCACAGGCGGACTGTGGAATCAAGGGAGGACGTGATGACTTGTGGATCGGCTTCTTGGCACTTCAGATCTGATACTGTGCCTTTATGTCCGGATAATACGTGGATGTTACTCCTGGTCCTCATATCCCATACTCGTGCTACACCATCTCTTCCTCCCGTAACCAGCACGTCCAAAGTAGGATGTAAAGCCAAAGTATAAACACCACTCAAATGTCCATGATAATGTCGAATAACCTTGTTGGTTTCCAAATCCCAACACTTAACCATCTTATCCTCTCCACAACTAAACAAATATGGATGTCGAGGACTAACTGCCAATCCTCTCACAGTCGATATATGTCCCGTCAATGTAAGTTTCAATCCTCCAGTCGCTAAATCCCATATCTTAATTGTACGATCTCCAGCTCCAGAAGCAAACCAACGATTCTCGGGCTCAACAGCTAGAGCACGAACCCAGCCCAAATGTCCAGATATCACGCGCATGAGTTTCCATGGGGCGTGCCATTCGGGTTTTGCTTGGACGAAATTCTGTTTGCGTACTAAGCTGCTCGATGGCAAATTACTCTGCGCAGTAGATATCGAAGGACCATTCGCATTGGGTGGTGTATCTTTACCGCGGATTATAAGACTGGTGCTACTTCCAGCCCCAGAACTCTCAATTCGTGATGGAATTCCTTCGATCATCTTCATGGTATTATTGTCTGCAGCTGAGTCCCCATCTGTAGCTTGTACCTTAGCCTTCTTCCTCCTGTTCCCAGCAGCGGCAGCTTGTTTTGCAGCCAAGGCAGCTGGTAATTCTCGAACATGGTCGTATTCGGCGTGAACCCTTCCTACTAATGCTAATTTATCTGCGGTTTCTGTGGATTTTGGATCGGGGATTGATTCTGTATCTGCGAAAAGAGAACGTGTTCGTTTAGCATTTTGTTTTATTAGAGATTTAATTTGATCGTCCGAAGGTAATGATGCGACTGCGGTTGCCATAATGAATGGAGGTGGTTGATGTTAATAAGTTGCGCGTGTGAGGAGTTGCGATTTGGAAATTTATCGCGATAATGCTTCAGGAACGTGAGCCACAGACCGTCAAGCCACCGTACTGGCCACCCACACTAGCCACTAAGTCGTTTATTGGCTGTCGCTTTGCATTCCAGGCTCCTCCTCCTCAACGCCATCATATGATATCAAAAATAGTTTAATACAATATTTCTTCTTTCAATCGATCTTTCATCAAAATCATATTGAACACATTGAAATACAATGGAAAAGCCATCGGAAGATAAATACGCCATCCATCAGGCTTGTCGAGATGGTAGAAGTACGATACCCCTCTCCTCTCCTCTCACCCTTTGTTACTAATAAGAATCTAGCTGCTATCGTAGAGTCCCTTCTCAATGTAGGAGATCCTCAGACTTTCTGCTATGAATCAATTGGTTATATACAAATATGAGTAGTACTCACAAATTGTAGGCCAACCCAAAACTCGCATTTTTGAAAGATGACGACGAAAGATTGCCTATTCATTGGGCAGTTTCTTATGGACATTTGGACATTGTCATACTACTTTCCAATGTGAAGAATTTCGATCCCGACGTACAGGTGTGTATAGTCCATATCGTGCCTGTTTATGCTGTGAGTAAGTTTGTTGATATAAATTGTAGGATGGGTCTGGATGGACACCTCTTATGATCGCTGTCAGTCTTAAGGAAGGCGATGATATTGTGAACTTGTTATTGAAGAAAGAGGCTGAAGTAAATGCCAAGAGTATGTTATGCCTTTACTGTGTTGTGATTCTGCTCAATTGATGCTCATCATATCTTAGATTTCAGCGACCAAGTATGACATTCAAACTATTTTGAGCACCCCTACGAACAACCATCTAACTGACATTTAGACCGCTCTCCACTTTGCCACCTCCAAAAACAACCTCCCAGTAGCCAAACTTCTACTTTCGCAAACTCCACCTGCTTCCTGTAGAGTCAAGGACAAGCGTGGACAGTATGCAATTCATCGTGCAGCGGCTATTGGATCCACTCCATTAGTTGAGTTATTGTTGAAGAATAAAAGTCCATTGAATCCTACCGATGTCGCGGGACAAACACCACTTCATCATGCCGTTGCTGAAGGTCACGGTACGTTCATTTCGTTCACTTGTCTTCATATATCAGATTGGGAGATATCCCCGATTGGTTTTGATGATTTTGCTACGAATCTTTCAGCTTACTAAAACATACACAGGTGACACTGCAGTAGCACTTTTGAAAGCCGGCGCAGAAACAGACAAGAAGGATGTAGATGGTTGCCTTGCGTTAGACCTTGCCCCTGACAGTCAGGTTAGTGATCATTATTTCCCCTATATTATGCCGTACCAAGCTCAAGACGTTTAGGTCAAGAAATATATAGTTCAATGGGCCGAGATGGAGGGTATCGATTTATAGCATGCCGCTGGCAGGAAATGAGTATGATTGATGAAAACAACGAAGTCCAATTGCATCTCATCCCCTTCTTACTTAACTTCTATCGAGAGTTTAGTTCCTAATACCAGGTTGATTTAGAGCCTTGGTCAGGCAGTGCCGGGGTTGAATTTGATGTTGAACATTGACGTTCCTTTGCACCAAACACTCGTTTAGTCTAATTCATCACCCGCTGTAAATCTGCGATTCATGTGTCATTTTCTCATTTACAAGCAAGTCGAACGTTGTCAGAGCTCACTTCCTTGGGCGTACCTTTCAAATGAAGTAGACAGGAGACTGTAGGGCAAATCAAAAGTCTACATGGCAATGGCAATGAAATATCACTTGATTCTTTCTTCTCAACTCAAGTAAAACGTCTTCATCTATGCTGCCTCTCTGTTTATACACATGGTCAACTTCATTTGTACCCAACAGATGAATCACACCGTCGAAGGAATGTCAGCTCGGAACCGATAGACTGTGCCCCACTCCTGCAGATCAAGCTTCTAATTCCCCTATTAATTCGCTCACTCATTGGTTGCATATCGCCACTACATCCCTGACTGATCAGATTGATAAGATAAAAATTAGTTTGGGAATCGCGTCGTCGTAAGCTGCGTATGCGTACCCGCAACTTTATTTTTTATTACTTATTATTGCTTGTTGTTGATTGTGTTGGCCTTTAAAATCATAAATACTTGAGTGTTGTCCGTCCTCCTCTAGTTCTGAGTTTTTTCTCTATTTTGGTCATTGTTCTTCCTGAATTGAAGGATAGTAGCCGATATGAAATCGAGAATGCTTTCACCGTCTCTAGTTCTCGCTCCGCTATTACCCCTATTGGTTAGCGCTAGTGCAGTACCTGATCAATCACCACTGTTACTTCAAACATCCAATGGTCCTAGTATAGAACATGCCCGCGCAAATGCACCTGAGATTTTTAACACAATTCATTCGTCTATGCGACAATGGGGATCTTCTCTAAAACATAATGGGATGTCCTTTTTCCCTGCAACAGTACCAAAAGGGACTCTCTTTTACCATGGAACCCACACACCCGAGCCGGTCGAGGGGATGGAATGGCTAGCTTTCGAAATCGAGCATGCAGAAGTATTTGCACGTCCAAGAAGAGGTCGTGGTCCCGGAGGTCCTGGAAATCATGATCCAGGTAAAGGGAAAGGTCCTGGGGGACCGGGAAGAGGTCCTCCTCCGCATGCACGAATGGACAGTCATCCCAGGCCCAAACCCAAGCATGATGATAATGTTCATGATTCTGATGACAAAGAAGAAGATAGCCATGGTTATCTCCACACCTACCGTACCTCCAAACCCCTCACTAAACTCATCTACATCGACGGAATGTCCGCCGGGAAAACCAGCATGGGAACCCTTGATTCTACAGACTACATCATTCGCAACCTTTCTCCCACTTCAACAGAGCCAAACAACGATTGGATCCGTGCAGCTGATCTTTGTAAGATTGGTGAAGAGTATGGTATCGAAGGAATTCTTCGCATGGAAGCGGGCTTTGAAATTATCCTCTGTAGTTTCAAAGATGGGCTTGAGTTTTTAGGTGCCTCTCAGAGAGACGACAAATCTGGAGGGTTTGAGAAGGGGGAAGATGATGTGGGACATTTTGAATATGTGAGGGCTCTGGTTTATAGGTATCAGGGTATCATGGGGGGAAGAGTAGAAGTCGATTATTCTTCTATGATTTCTGCCTTCTTTTATCCTCTCAATATTACTAATCCCAATCCTTCTCGTTCCGAACTTCCTAGATTGGTCGAACCTTCCGAATTAGGTGATTTGAAGAGAATCCGCTCTGATATCTTGGAATTGTTTAAATCTGGAGAATACGAGAAGAGAGAAACGATCAACTGGCAAAATGTCGTGGATATGATTGTTACGAGGTATTCAGATCGTCTCAAGTTTATGGTTCAAAATGAGACGTCAGAAGCGGCGTTATTATCGGAAATCAAATTGCTGTTGGACGCGCATACGGATTACAAAAAGATTGATATTCCTTCCTCGATTGAGAAATGCGCAAATCACTATCTAAGACCGGTAACACCGAAAACGGAGGCAGATCATTTGATTCATGCTGCTATTCTTAAGGTGTCTCGTGATATTTGCAGTACTTTGTTTGAAGTCAGAGAATTAATAAGCAGTGATGAAAAGGGTACAAAAGAGGAGGAAGGAAAACAATTGATCAGAAAATTGATCAATGAATTAGATTGGACTACTTGGCTGGAATGTGGAAAGTGCGGTTATGATGAGGTATGTTTCGTGGCAATCTGGCCCTGGGGAGGTTTAGAAGATCACGTCTCTCCAAGCTGTATCAAGAGGGGTGATATGGGTGATCGAAGGGGATACTGGGATTGGGGACATTAGCGTCGGCGGTAATTTTGAAGAAGGCTTTATGGCCGCAGACTTCTGATCAATCGATAGAGGAGAGTGGATATATGGGTAGGATTGTATCATAGTGACAATATACGGGACCTATACACAATCGAATTGGCAGTTAATATGTTTCAGTTCCACAAAGAACAGAAGATTTTACCAACACTTTCCAGCTACTCAGTACACTACTCATTGTTCCCAGGGGGTACCAGGTAAGTCTTCCAATCAGGGAGGCCACGGAATTATCATCCTCGTGCGGAAGTTTTGACAAACTCATCTCTCTTTAGGAATTTGGACATTATCTTCCTCCCTGGATCCTTCGTAGCCATATAACAAATTGCTAACGAAAGTAGCGGTTCTCGTGTTGCTATAAGTCATTCAGCTGTCCATCCATCTGTAGAGTGAAAGCAGCAGAATCAGTGACAAGTATAATCACTTTTATGTCTTTGTGGTACTTGGTTGCTAGTATGACTTGCATTCGGTATCCTGTCTAAATACCTTCTCATATATCTGGCTTCCCTCTCTTCTGTGGACATGACCTGTAGTGATCTCGGTTTCAGACAACGCTCGACACCAGTCCGTGTAGTCTTGCAATCTCTTTTGCTGAAACAAATGTCTGTATGTACTTCATGTTGCACATGGGCAATCAAGTCCTGATCTGCGATTCAAATATATTTGCAATCAGACTGAAACTATGTATGTGTCGTATGGTTGCTTCCAAACAAACGCGAATTCTGTGGATTATGGTGACATTGGGAAAAGAGTTTATCAAGCAAATGACATGGGAACTGTCTTATCAGAGATCTTGTCACAAGACGATGTAAAAAATGTAATGAGCATGCAGAGAGGAGATTGGCGTGGAATTGATAATGTTTTTATTCGTCGTAGAAAACAATGCATCGATGCCTAATTCGGACTAGAACCTTCTCCCGTGAGCGCCCAAATCTTTTTTACGTCAACTAGAACAGAAATGATAATTTTCTCAGCAACTTCGCAAGACTTTTACGACAGAACTAACTTCGTAATCGTGCCATTTCGTCGACCAGGACGGAAATATTAACGTCGCTTGAATCTCCTCAAATTCAGATCTATGCATCACAATCTCAAAGGGCAAATTTACCTTAGGCCACAAGATCACCAAGACACCGTGTGATGTGAAGAGGCAAGATATTGTAGGATCAAAACGAAATGAAGATTTTTCGCAAATGTTCAAACGGCTTGAGCTCCAACCTTATCGATGGCATTAAGCGCAACCATTCCTCAGAACACCGGTACTATAGCGGGGCTGCAAAGATGCCAAGGACTCGGATTTTTATATGGAAAAGGGTTAGCGATAATCTAGGATGGCATTTGACTCCTGATGTAGGTCTTGGTGAAACTTATTCTTTTCATTGAATGACAATCGTGTTTAGGACTTTACTCGTGCCAAACAAGTTGTATCTTGTGATGAAATAGAGAAGGAAGCCATAAAATTGGAGAAAGGGCAAAAGCGGGTGATATTGTATCAAAGTCTTTGGTCAAATCCTGCATGGAGGTCCTATCCTTAATGACCATGAGGGGAAGGCAAACGAATTCTTAAATCGTCTCATCTGCGCAATCATCCACCTCACGTTGCCAATGATCTGTTTTTGCAGATATTTCTTCCTCGCGAAAATCTCACAAACATTCTCTAAGCCATTTGCGTAGCTTAATTGTTGCAAAGTGGTTCGGGGGCTGGAACCCGTCTCGCTGTTATTGAAACCAACGTCAAACAATCCGACTGACAGACACACCATGTGCATTGCAACGACTCATGCACCGAAGATGCTACAACATCGTGTGCCGTCGCCTTACGTTTTTGTTCTTCAGTGTCTAACTCAGTAAGCCGAGGGCGACACCGGTTCAAGGATCTGGCTACGAACAGTTGTAGTTTCGTTATCTGCTCTGGGCGATCGCGTAGTCTCGAGACGTATATAATCGTGTTTCCTTCATTCTTCAGTGCTGTAACTTCTTTTATTCATAATTGCGAGCGATTCTTTAAATTCAAACTGTTTATTATCTCACATCTTGATAATCTATAACCCCACCACTCTTTCGGTGCCGAACTCCGTCCATTTTGGGCAAATATCCCAGCACAAGCATATCGGTAGTCCGGCTATATTCAACCTTTACCTATCGACGTGTCAATTATTCACAACGAAATTCATTTCACTTTGATGATGGACTTTCAATCTCTCAGCCTTTGCAACTCATTTCAGTCACCGGCTTACCGCATATTTTTGTTTGATTTATCTAGCTCACAGTGGCAAGTCAGGCCTGGTAATGCATATTGATAGCATGCAGTTCTGTGTATGTACCAGGCAGCATATCCTTACTTTCTCAATCTTTTGAGCTCTAGCACCTTCATATGACCATTGCACGGCCTCTGTTCTCTTGTTTCGAGTGAGAAACACTTCTTGCAATTTGAAAATAAGATGTTCGCAACAAGATTCCGTCGTAGGAAGTCCTCGAACTATCTATTCTATCGTCCTTAAAAGCTATCGTTTCCTCGACATGCTAGGTCTTCGAATCCTTGGCAATTATCGGGGCAGTCTGCAATTTCGTTTCCTCAGTATGGCTTGAACTCAAATTTTTGATGGGTGAGCTGTGATGATGGGACGGGGCGCAGCGTCGTTGTTCTAGTGTCATAATCAAGTAGAATATACTATGATTCTGCCTGGATGCCCTCAAAACACCCCTTTGAGGTGGCATGTCTTCGACCAACCATTGAACTTTGGATTCAAATCCATAAAACTTCGCCTCTTTACTAGCTTCACTGGTTTTATGTTTCCTAGAAACATATCTATCATACATGTACGATTAATTAACATGATCGCAAGATCTATACCACACATGGTCAGTCTTTAATTGTCTCATTGACATCGTCGTTTCTTACCTACTTGATTCACCATCTACCCCTCAATACCTAATACTACTTATTGCTGATAACGCCTCCCAAATCGCAAAAAGCTCCTACGGGACCAGTGCGAGTTCGCTCTCTTGCCAGGCTCTTTAGAAACACACATTTCTCTACAATAACGACCCGATCGTCCAGCTCTTATATTTATTCAAAAAAAAAAAAAAAAAAAAACGAAACCAAGCACATTCATTCTTTTACTAAGAGTATCACTTGTCTGATTGTCACAAAATACCTATGCCGATTTCATCCAGACTCCATTATAACAGCTCCCTACCCGCTGCGAATCCCACCCGTACTATTGACCACTGCAAGGTGGTTGTAGGATATTTTTCGAGGCTAGAACACGCAAGCGGCTTATACGGAAGCGAAGGCATTGGCATGGACTTCGCGCAAAACTATTACAGCCATCCATCGGCTCAGATACCGTCACCAAAGAATATTGATAACATTATTGGTCACAAAGAGAGTTGCAATTCTGATGTAAAAGTCGAAGCATATATATCTCCAATGTCCAGGCGTTCTTTTTATGGTCATGGTGACGTGCCTCATGACTATGGGTTTCTACAAAATCTAGAATTGCCTTTGCATAAAAATTTACACACTTCATTGCCTATTCGCTGTTTTCAAAACGATGTGGCAAGTAGTGCCTCGATCTCTACAGCCCTTCGGTCTCACGATTCAGAACATGGTGCAAATCCAATATCGAAATTCCAACCTTCCACATCTCCTCCTCCCGATCTCAAATCTTGTACGGATCTGCTTCAAGGTGATTCTGAAGGTCGACTCGATACCAGAGTCTATCAAGGGGGGCAGTTAGCGAACAACATGACTGCGGAACTCACTTTATACCGAAAAGCCTCCACGGAGGGTCACTATAAAATTCAAAACTTCTCACCAAGGTCATCTTCTCATGGACCTGCCATTGATTTCAGGCAAGACGGCTTTGAAACTTATCTGGCACAATCTCCTCAAACACTCACATCATATCATTCAATCACGAACTCTGCACCTTTGGGCACAGCACCAACCTCTTCGGGTACAAAAATATCGAATGATTTGACTGCGCGCTCCATTGATCTGTGGAAAAATCCTCTCGAACTCCAGGGCCCACATTGGAGTGGTGCTTTTCTGTCCAACAATTTGTCGCATCCATCGAGTATGTCCATTTCATGCCGAGAATCTCAAAGCTATAATAACGCAAATACTTCAAATGAGCTTATATCCGCCTCGAGCTTTTATCCCTCTCATGCCTTCCAATTACCTCATACTAAAATACCTTATACTCAAATCGCGTGTCATCAACATGGTTCCAATCACATGAATTCTCATTCACCAACACTTTCTTTTCCCTCAAATGATGTCCAGATTCAAGAAGGAGTTCACAGTATGGGACGAAGCAAAAGCTCAGACATTGATTATATACGTACTGTAACAATTGATCAAATCTGCCCGAGAAGCTTTCCAAGCGTATGTCTGCATCCTCAGTGCCAATGCAAGCCAACAAATAAGCGCAAGTTGTACAATAGATACAAAGACTGGCAAGGTCATTTTAAACGTGCTCACCACAAGCAGTACCTCTGCGGCTTACCAAATTGCCCAAATAGCGAAAAGAGGTATGGCACAAAGGCAGAAGTCAAGCGTCATCGACTCTCTGTTCACCGTTTTGGTAAGGCAGATGCTAAACACTGGAATTGCCAGGTCCTGAATTGTCAACGAAGTACTAAGGTGTTTACGAGAGGTGACAAATACAAAGATCACCGTGATAGATGGCATGGACCATTCCCCTGCCTGTATCCAGGGTGTGTGAGAGGGCCTGATAATGGGTTCAAGGATCAAGAAGCACTTGATAAACATCGTCGAAAAGAGCATAGATGAGGCTGGGGTGCTTAGTTTCTGATCCTCTTGTGTATTTATAAGCCTGTATGAGTATGTTTCTCTGCTTTGCCTACACAACTGCAAATTTCGGATTTCTTTTCCTCGAAGCTATTCCTAATTTCCTTGGGGTACAACTACATGTAGATAAACTTTCTAATCTAGGGGATATTCTGCATGTATCAAAGCTATGATCTTATATCACAATCAATGTACCTTTAGTTATTTACAGTAATGTATTAACAAGGAGATATAATCGAAATTGCGCTCAATTTCTGCGGCTCTGGCTCTATCTCACTACCTACCACTTTTGACGAAACCTGAATGTGCGTGACTCCAAAACTTGAACCATCTTGCACGTCTATCTACCATTCTAACCCCATGGAAACAATTCGCAGATTGATAAAAGTCCAAAAGGCTCGCAGCCTCACTACTTAGCGCTTGATATCTGATGGCTAGTTCTTCCGTACTGTAGCACTCGGTAAGATTAGCGTCATCTTTCACCGGCCTCGCTGGAAGCGTCCTTAGGCTGGGGTACAAGCACGTCTATGTTGGTTAACTTTCTATATGCTTCCATCAGGCGCCTTTTCGTAAGTGCATCGGAAAAAATCTCAATCGGTTTCAGTAGTATTTTATGCCCCAAGCCTCATCAACAACGACATGAATTCAAGGCACACTGGCACATTCTCTAGTCTATGGTGGAATGGCAGGCTTAACTACTGTTGATTGGTATGATGCGTTCATGCAACTACAGGGGCCATAATGCCCCATATGCAATATCAACAGAATTTGGACAGAATGGCACGTTGACTGTAGGCTGACCGGGCGAAATGTATGGAAAAAGATTATGCCCCGTTATGAGCCTGTTGGATTGTATGTCGCAAGACTTCGTTCTTGAAAAGTGGCATTATCGACCACAATTGAGCAAAAAACTGAGCTGAATATTTGGGGCATTTCGTCCAGATCGCCCCGGGAAGGGCGAAATGCCTAGTTTCGACAGATGCGGCCATCATAACACCATTTGGCGATCGTTGAAAGTATGAACGATAATTGCAGTAGGCTATATTCTGATTTCTATGCTTATTGGTGAGCCGTGTCATCCTCGGTGCTACTCATCATTGCCGCCATGATTTATTTTCCTCCCTGCTGGGCGACTCTTTCTCAAGAACCGAGTATCCAGATGCTTCTATCCACCGAGTTGCTACGCCTTCTTTGCCAAAGGTATCTCTTTACAACTTTATAACTAACTTCCTATAACCCGCCGAATGTTTGATCTGGAGCTCTAGTAAGATTACCATAGACTACACAGGTATGTATTCTCTATCTTTATTTGAGTTATCACTCCTCAACACACGTTCTCTTTTAAAAACTGACCTCTCAGAAGCCATGGTATTCCAATCCTCGTCAGTGCTTACACATTACTGTAAAAAAAAATTGACCGCAAACTTCAACACTAGCATGTGCTTCATTAGCCTTGCTGATAGTGTCGAGTGTTTATGACTTGAAGCAAGAAGACTCTGGAGTACAGGTACATATGGATGGAGTTATGTCCACTATCCAAATATATGTGGAAATACAGCAGCAACTTCTGCAAAATCTATCACCATATATTGTAATCTGTATTTCGGTCCGTGGCTATTGAGATAAGGATCTTCCAAATGAGTCTGCGCATTCGGATGTGTGTTTATTTCCGAGAACTAAAGTGTGAGTGGGAACTTAGCGGTCTATTTGAATTCTTGAATCATCAACTAATTATTTCGCAGAAAGCTCTTGCTAGGGAAGATGCAAATGTGCAATTTCTTGTCGGTTGAGTTCAGGGGAAACAAGTCAGGATGTTGCTAATATGGTGAGATATCTGCAAAAAAAAGCAGCACAAACCCTTCATTTTCGTTTCTCTCCGAGTCCGATGTGTTTCAAGCCGGAGCCTTTTTAGGTTCAAGGCGGGCTATCTACTCTAGCGTTTTGTAAAGCCGAAATTTGGAGCAAAGCTCTCCGATGTTTCAGGTGGTTTATCTGTCTTATCTATATTCCTTTCAGTAGCTAGATATGGACAGACTCTCAATATTACACAGCATTTCTAGAAAATGTTTCTTCATTGTCCATTTTCTCCTGTGTTATGCGCGATTTCCTGAAAATCTGCCTTGCTTTTTGAGGCTCCTGCAATATGCCAATTTTTTCAACAGACAAGGGAAGTAGATTGCCCCAAAAGCTGCCCTACTTGTCCTAAGTATTCCCCATTCCAAGTCTTCATTTTGATTGGAGGTACGAAGCACTGCTTCTTTCGGTGAGCTTGAGTTACATCAACTTACACTGTAGGTTCGAAGAGCTCGATGCTCTTGGTACTATGCCCTTTGGTTACCCGAAAGATGCCCTAAACCTTTTACTCGGACCTTGGAATACACCATGGCCTTGATGGCCCGTCTTTCTTTGAATAAAAAGGAATTGCTTAGACTTGTTCTTTCTTTGGATGACTATAACAACATTCGGTGGTTTCTCAATTCTCAACGGAAGATAGCCAAAATGGATGATCACGGCGACCAATTCACTAGTCCTTCTCAGGATGAAGAGTATATCGAAAACCATGCTCTTTATCAACAGCCAGACTACCCGGTAGCTTATGTTTCTAGGCTTCCACCAAGAGTTCAACACCAGGGTCCAGTCGATATCCAAGGCTATGGCACTTTTGAACCTGCTTCTATTACCGAAACTACCATCCAACCTGCATTCCAGGTACAGCCATATACGTATCCGTACACCGATGGAGTTGTGCAGCACGGCAACCAAACTCAGCAATATAACTCCGAATCTTCGCACCTTAATCGTCTGACCATGCCAGCGGGCATCATACTTCAGGAAGGTTGGCCGTTGGAAAATCGCTATCAGCAACAGGCCACTTACACACCCACATATACACCCACGTACGCACCTGTTGGCGACATCCCTCTTGAACAAGTTGCAGTCAGTCATGGCCCGACTCATCAAACTAATACGCAAATCAATGCCTCGTATGATGCGGAGGTGAGTTCAAACGTCTGGAGCCCGGGTTTCTGTCAACATGCAAGTTGCCTTGCAAAGCCTTCAGACAAGCAAAAGAACTACCGAGAATACTCGGATTGGCGACGTCATTGGTTTCGGGTACATGAAAAGCAACACAAATGCCTGATTGATGGTGCCATATTCGGAACGGCCAAAGATCTCGAACGCCATATTGAAGCTAAGCATCAAACGGGTGCCAAAAGGCATTACTGTCACATTGCAGGATGTCAAGCTCGCGCGAGAGAGTTCAACAGGAAAGACAAGTTTCAAGAGCACAATGACAAATGGCATGGAGCTTATTGCTGTCCTGTTCCTTACTGCGATCGAGGACATAGCAATGGATTCAAAGAAAGAGAATTGTTGAGGGATCATATGCGCACTCGCCATGATGCGTGAGACTTCTTGTAGAAGATGGCCATGAGAGAAATGATTTATGACAGGTATGAAAACTTCTTTCAGCTAAAGGAATACACGGCTAACATCGCATTCTTTATCTTAGAATTATATATACGGGACTAGATATAAGGTGCCCCGGTTGCATAGCGCTAGGATCTTATTTGGTGATGATTGATGAGAAATTTGTCGCTGGCGACGGTTGGGATTGTGGTTGTGCTGAAATGAGCTTTTTGTGTTATATTAAAGGGAATCGTGTTTGTTTGCTGACGATACCCATGATTTCTTCACGATGTTTGGATATCAGTCTTTTGGATTTCTGATTGAATTTTTTCGGCGGACTTTTTAATTCTTTCAAATAATTACATACCTATACCATCCTTCTCATGTATCTCCAAGATGATGTCCATCATGTCGTGAAAATTGACAGGCCCCGCCAAGAAAGCTTGTATTGCTAGGCCATTGAGTAGGGCTTATGGCGGTGTCTAAACCCCAGCAGAATTTCGTGATATCAGCAGATGTTTCAAGGAGTGATCTGGTGGTCTATGTAAATATATAGTGGATCAATTTGGGTACCTGACGGTACCATTAATGTAATAAGACGCTCTCCAGTATATGGTTCCTCAAGAGACACTCTGATGGTAACATTGGTAACGGGTAGATGTTCCACTCCATATTATCAGTAGACGGCGCCAGTTTTAAACCCCAGACAGGAGAGAATTGTATATTGTTGATGGTAACCTTAAGGCAGAAGATCATCAACAGCAAAGCAAGTCAGTGTGCCAGCTGAGCGTCGCAACAACAAAGATTGATTTATATGCGGAAGACGACACTATGTCGCTGACATTCAAACAAAGGCACGAACCTGTAGTTTCCGCAGAATAGTGAGCGTAAATGAACATATCTCCGACTTTGTCTACGCCCAGATTTCAGACATCTGCCCAAATCATGCTGCAACGCAAGCTAGATAGGTCCACGTATTAAAATTTATGAAGCTCTTAAGCCATTCATATGAAATTATTGATTTGTCGCTCAGAACACATGTAGGTGTCGATGTGGATTGGTGATTTTGGGGAAACTAGTGGTCCGGGAACTATATATGTACTAGCTGCACTGCTAATGTAGTGCAAAAAGCAAAACCCACGCTAGTAATTGACTTCATCCGTATCTCGAATTTACAATATTGACACCAACGACACTCTGGGTGCTTGCACAGCTCTCGCAGCGGCCATGATATGGTGACTGTATGCGAACAATTGATTTCTTTGGCATAACTCAATATCGTTCTCTTAGAAGAATTGCCAGGGTTCCAAATGTCCGAGATACGTGTTACTTCCCCCTGCGCTGGCCAGGGTCTAGTATGATGACTGCTGCTGAATACAGAATTACCTCTGACTTCACTGACACTGATTACCATGCCTGTATACGGCATTATATTGTTGCTGCGATCAGTGTTGCAGTACTGTTAACGATTGCGGTGCTTCACGTCGTTTGGGCGGTCGTGATAGTCACGAACATTCTTCTTTGACATTTCGAGAACAAACGTTATCGCTAGCATCCGTTCTGCTGCCCAGATCAATTTGGACAATAGATGTTATATGTCTGACCGGTTAGAATTTACTTTATCGGACGTCTTGGATACACTTAAACCCTAACTGCGTTGTTGCTTATGGGGAAGCCAGCTTTTGTGGCTCGCCTGTGAGCTCGGTGACCTAATCCTCATATAATCGCCCAAGGCGCTTTAACAACGCGAGACAGAGAACGCAGCATGTTTCTTGAAGTTTGGCAGCACCTTATCGCCACAAACGTATTCGCCCTAGGCGATCCAAAGAAATGAATATAGAAAGGTAGATAATCCGCTCGTCTAGAATTCAAACACTTCAAAACTCTCTATTCTAATTGACCTCAGACTCATGAGTTCAAGAAGATGTATCAATTCGAAATAAGCGAGCTTATCAATGTCACCGGTATTGACAGTATCTCAAATTCTGACTCAATCAATAACCTGAGTCCACCAAGCATTTTCGTTGCCGAATCAATCCGTCGCTACAGAACTACATTCAAGGTCAATTTCCTTTGAACCGCAGCGAGAGTTCTTGTCATCTGGCGAATCTGCCCATGATTGCCCATCATGTACAATTACCCCAAAACTAATGCCCCAGCAACCATAGGGACAACTTCCTCTCCCAACGTGGTTTGAGCTTCTACTACTCTTCATGAGGAACGGTTCTGATCGGAGCTCTATTAGGCAGGCAAAGAGAAAGCTGTAATGTGGGAAGTAGCTTCAATGATTTCCCTACCTCAGCCTCGCAGTATGCTAAGACATGTACTGGATTCATGAGGTGTGCTTCTTTTTGAGAGTATTTTCTGGTCTATAGATGGAAATTGTTTATTCCTTTCATTTGTTTTCCTCCATTCGATCCATTGACGCCGCTACGTCACAGTTTACCCCGCTATCAAATCTTCATCTTCAATGTTCAATCCTCACGATCACCAGCCTTTTCTCGCAATTTTCGATAAGTCGCCCTTTCTTTCTATGTCCTTTTGCCTTTTTCCTTCTTGTACATACTTTGCACGGCCCAACGCTGAGATTCATCAACGTTCTCGTGATAATTACTTCATTAGCCGAATTTTGATCTCTGAGGCCCCAATTGCCCGGCTTCTGATACCAGCTAATGCCATTTGCTGTTTATCTGAGGCGGATATAACGAGGGGTCGAAGCTTTCAAATTGCCTTGTAAAGAGAGCGTCACTCACAGCCATAATGCCCTTTTCCCTATAGTATAATGCTCAGCCAGTATTGCCCATAATGTTAAAAAGTAATCTGGGGTGTACAAGATCTTTCTGTTGCCTACATAATATCCATTCATAACATCTTAAGTATCTGTAAGGAATCCGAGGCCCGTCAACAAATTTGAGTCTCCTCATTTTGATTGAGAAGGCTATCTACTGCGATTAGCCCTGCAAAACCCTTCATTCAATAAAAACTACAAGCCTTCGGTGAGTTTGATCAACGGACATGACATATTTTTGGCATTTGAAAGTTGCGTCTTTACTGATGATGAATTTCCGCAAACGTAGATACTTATTCGGGGGTGCGGAATAGTATTTGCGAAATATTACCTCTATTTGACAAACTGCCCGTACTATTAATTCCACAAGTTGTTGGGAAAAAATCGCCTAAGATACCATAAGGACTCATGGCGTGTAGGGTGTGTGGCTCCAGGGAAGACCAATATTGTTGTCAGCATGTCAACCGGGATTTACCTCCCGAACCTGGTTATATGACCACCACCAACAATTCTCACCCTCATAGCTACTCAAACTTAAACCATGAGGCGTACATTAGCAATGTCCCCCATTATTCTCAATCAGTGGATTCATATCCCATTGGAAACCAATCCACACTCCAACTTCAAGAGCCAGGCATCTCTTATTCCAGTGGTTACGCACCATCGACTCAATTATTCTGCACTTCAACTGGAAAAATCTATGATTCCTCGTCTCTCTCTCTCGATCCAGGAGCCTTCACCAACAATGCACATTCACATGGATCAAGCGTTGGGTGGATGAAACAAAGCCATGGGGGCGATGAAGCAACTCAATTGAGCTTTGCGAAGCCAGGGCAGTCAATTGGGCCAGAAGTGGGGTGGCCAAGTTTGGGGAATCGAGATGCGCACCGCTCTTTCTATTCTAAATACCCCTCAACCAATTTCACTTCGATGAAAAGCTCGCAAGCATATTCCCTTAGTGGGTGTGATTTATCAGGGTATGTAAGCAATTGGGAGCAAGATCCAAGTCAGCAGAACAACCATGTGGCCTCAGGAAATGAAGGAATACAAGTCGCTACAGAAGATAATAGCCGAATGAACCAGGCAGGTATTGTTTTGAGAGGCCCTAAGCCTTCCGACACATCGGAGGCTCGTTATCCTTTCGTCAATATGGCCCAATCGCAGTATTCACCCTCCTATTCGTACGAGCATTCTCGAATCCAGGAACCTTTTACCGTAGTCGCCACAAATCAAGAGCCAGCAGCTTTGAACAACCAAACCCAATATTCACCATCAGGCGCTATAAGTGATCAGTGGCAGTTTCCTTGCAAGTGTCCACATGAAAAATGCAGGCGCAACAATACAAAGATCTTTACAGAGTCTTCCGGCTTGCAAGCCCACTGGTATAGAGCACATGAAAAGCGATTCTCCTGCCCAGAGTGCAATGCAGTGTTCGGGACAGCTGCAGAAGTCAGGCGTCACTCGACGGCTATACATGTCGATGGCCCTAAGGAATTTACCTGCGATGTCCCACTTTGTGCTGGCCGCGCAAAGGAGTTCAACAGAAAGCATCGCTTGAAGGAACACATGGAGAAGTGGCACGGCTATTTCTACTGTTCTGCTATGGATTGTTCTCGGGGTCCTGGACACGGTTTCAAGGATCAGACATCACTGAATGATCACCAGGCCAAATCCCATGGCCATGGCGGCTTTAGGTAGATATTTCATCGGAAATTTTGAAAGGCAGTGAACTTTGAATTTGACCTTCCTTTGCGGAAAGATATCAATGATGTCAAGTATCGGGCTCATATGAGATTGAAATAACGGTACGAAAACACAGCGCCACAACCTTATGAACGTTACTAACACTTCTTAGATTTATTTATGTCAAATTTAAGCCTAGCCTCAACTCACGATGTGAGAAACAAGATTGCATGAGTGAGTACATAACTCATGTTAGTCGATGTCTTTAGTTTGAAAGCCAGGATCGACACCGATGTCGACACTCCCCAAACATTCAAATGTGCCATTTATTTGATTCCTTGGTGAAGGAGAATTTGGATTGGATATTCACATACTATTTGATGAGTTTACGATGGATTATGATCAACAATTTCTTAATGGTGGACTGGAAGTTTTTGGGTCTTTGGTTTCTATTGTCTGAACTTCTATATAACTGGTCCTTTGAATTACAAAATCTTCATGCTATTCGTATCCAACTCACCTCTACCAGATTAAGAAGTTATTATGCAAAGAAAGTGGCTCCAACTATTCAGTGTGGTGTGGTAGTATAGTTACGGCCAACTGGGATCTATTAAGATGACCAAGATGAGGCTGGAGCAACCATTTAATCAATCCGGGTTTGGAGAGTTTGCAAACAGTCCAAATATTTAAACCCATAACTTTCCCCCCTTAGAAAAATTGCTCAAGATGCAGCAAATTTATTCATTTCTTCTTACTTTCCAGCGATTTTTCACTTGTGGCCGAGTAAGGAGACCCCCATCGAGATTAAAAGCCGAAGATTCTGCCTCGAAAACTACCTTGCGAGCAACACAGCCATGGCTCGAAGAAACTTTGATCAATCAAATTGCGACAATTGGGGATACGAATCAGCCTCACACAGAACAAACAGCACTTGCAGTAGTGCATACAGCGATGGACAATGCCCCAATTCCCCCAAAGTTCCAAGGTCCTGCCTCGACACTGATGTACACGGCAACGTCGTATTGAGAGAATTTCCCAGGAGCTTTCCGGATCTCATCGAATCAGATTGTGCCCACTCAAATTGGGGCATTGCTCAAATTTTGTGAGTGACCACTCCCCCGCATGACGAGCCTTGTTGTGCTGACAGGGCATTTTCGCTAGTCCCAATGAGGAATGGTTCCAGAATGCCCCAAACCTCCCCTTTTCCTCAGCCGATTACGATTTTTTGTTGCCTAATTTTACATGCGATCCCAAAATCGAAAGTTCGTTTGTTCCAATGATTGGCGATTCTCAAATACTTGAAACTTTTGATTTTGACGATTCTTGGTTGACTGGCGACATCTCTTCACCATCGCTCCCTTATGCTGAACAATTTCAATTTTGTAGCCCGACGTCGAGTTACGAGAAGCTTTCAAACGTCTCAACAGAAGCTGGAACATCGGCTAAAGATAGCAAGTACGCTGATTTTTTGGAGTCTAATTTCAGCGGACCGACTCAGTGTCGTTGGGAAGGATGTACTTCAAAGGCAACATTTTCCACCCCAAAAGCTTTCAACAAACATTTAAAGAATATACATTTGAGACCCTTGGTCTGTGACGTTGGGGGTTGCGGCTATCAGAAACCATTTAGAAATAAGTATGACTTGGAACGACACCGACAAACTGCACACCTTCGTGCCCGTAACCACGAGTGTCCATTTGTGCACTGTGGAAACATAGGGTTCGCCCGCAAAGACAAACTATGGGTGCATATCCGGGAATGTCATGATCAATCATCTACTGTCAGTATATGTCCTGTAATTCACTGCGGGAAAGAAGTCGAGACGCCTGTCTCCGAGCACATACAGAAAGAACACGGAAGTTTTGAATGCGGGTTGAGCACGTGTGGAAAAAAGCAAAGTCGCTTCACGGATATTCAACTCGAAAGTCATTTGAGAAGCGCGCATGGATTGAATCCTGGGGAAGCTTCGAAAGCTGTTGGGGCGGCCAAGAAAACTTCAGATAAAACGATACGAAGAACAGATCTCCACACAAAATCAGAGATAACAGAATGTTCCATTTGCAGTCCCTGAATGTTTGCTCGAGTGGATTTATTTTATACAGTATATAGTGATACGTTCAGGGGTGGTGCACACTGTAAATGCAGGAGACGAGATTTTATATGGGTACGAATGTGTTTATTTCATGCATCGATTTACTGGGGTTTCTTATATCCAGTCACTTTCTTATGTTAATAGACAATGGAGGCGCAAGGAGCGATGGTCAGTGATGGTTTTATAATTTTGCTTATATCGATAGCTTATTACATCTCAACTTTCCCAAAACTTCCGCATACAAAGAACCCAAATACTAGACACGTTAGCACCGTCGTCTAGATGCTTTTGCCTTATTTCTTAATCATTTGCATCTTGTAGATTTCACACAGGCTCTGGGGATACTGGGACAAAGAATAATAGTTAAGAATGGGATATCTGTTGGATTTTTCGACGTGACTGCACATTCTCATATTTCTTGTGTATTTCACGGGTCTTGTGTGTTGTTGTTAGAATTGCACATGGTACATTGGCACTAAAATTTGTTACATTGAATTATCAATATGATCGATTCCTTTGTTTATGATTGATGTATCAAACACCCATCCAATTATACCACTACCAAATCTACAGATACCAGAAGAGCTTTTGACATCATGCAAAAGTTTGCGACCTCCCTGCAACAATTCTTTTACTTGTGGATCCAGATCCACTAGTTGTTTTCAGATCCGGAGATTTCTTTTCTGAAGGTATCCTAGTATCGCTTCGTCTGGGAAGTCTGTCCCTAGAGTCGCTCTGCTTGGAAAGTACGACCTTGGAATCACTCTTATGGGAAATTTTGTCTCTAGAATCACTCCGCTTGGGAGGTATGACCTTGGGATCACTCTTATGGGAAATTTTGTCGCCAGAATCACTTCGCTTGGGAGGTATAGTTTTGGAGCTAACTTGGCTAGGAAGTTTGTCGCTAGAATCACTCCGCTTGGGAGGTATAGTTTTGGAGCTACTTTGGCTAGGAAGTTTGTCCCTGGAACCACCCTGTCTGAGAGGTCTCGCCTTGGAATCTCCTTGGCTGGAAGTTCTTTCCCCAGAAGTACGCTGAATAGGGAGCTTTTCCCTAGAACTACCTTGGCCGGGGGGGTTGATCTCACGACGCTTTCTTTCGGTCTGTCTAGTATCGGAATCTTTACTCTCCGGATCTTTCTGCAGCACTTTTGGTGTACTCATAGACCCATTTGCAGGTGCGGAACCCGTTCTGGCTGGCTTTGGCTTTCTCTTACTGAGATCATGTGCCCAAATGAATTCGTCTTCCTTGTTTAGCACAGGTTTACCACTCGCCGGGCAGCACAGAATATGATCCCCTCTCTTAGAATCATATAGCCATCCTTTCGCAGGGTCTACGATCCTGTCAGTCGAAAATGGAAGCTTATAGTCCACTTTCAAGTCTCTCGTCTGGTGAGCAAGCCTGAATATATTTTCGCTGAGCCCTTGTTCTGCAAACATTTCTATCCAATCGTTATAGCCTTTGTAATTCTTTCTTTCAAGGCAAATATCTGTGCAGATTTCAAAAAGTTTTGATTTCGCCGATACCCTGTAGTCGGCACTGTACAGAACCCCTAGAGTTTTTTCACTCTCACTTTCTTTGAATCTCATACTGGTGGGGCGATGTGCCAAATCGGGGCAGTAGCGAATGTTCTTGGAACGTTTAATTATAGTATCATGCGGCCTCTTCCGATCCGTATCTTCATATAATTGTTCATAAAACCATACGTGATCATCAGGCTCAGTAAATATAGTGAGTTCTTTCGTCACAGGATCCCTTTTCTCTTCAGCGCTGTGGACGAGCCTGAATGCAAAAGGCGCGCATACTTCAACCAGTTTGCCGTCTTTGTAGATTGGTTTCGTGGCATCTTCACCAAGATCAAGAAGAATGACTTTTGAAGTCTGTATAATCGTGGGCCCCATATTGTATCAATCGAGATGTTTATAAATGGTAGGTAAGTTGTAGTTGGGTGTATTCAGTCACTGACGTATTGATTCTAATCCCGTATTATTCGAAAGAGTGTACGGGTTGCTTAAATAAACATTCTCACTACCTCCCTTCTAATCGACAGGTTGCAGAAAATTCACAGTTGTAACACAAACAAGGTCGACCATGCGGGGATTTCCCAAATTTTCTGTCTTGGGAGGTCATTCATGAAGGGCCATAGGAAAATGCTTCTTTATCGTTCCAAAAAACCGGGACCAAAAGCACCGGAAGAAAATAGCTTTGTGGAAACTTCTAACCTATCATAAGCCTCCAAAAAATATTCTTGTAACATTATCTGATATTTGTGTGTTGGGGGCCATTTAGCAAAGATCCAGACCGACAGGAAGGCGCAATAAGTTCTGAAACAATTGAATGAAGAATGACGGGGATAAAACGATGATAGCAGTGGTTCTTGCTTATTGTGGTGACCGCGTGTTATCACAAATAAGCGCCACAGCTCATCCCGGTGGTAATACATGCTGTTCAACATGTCATTAACTTGAACAAGATGATGTTCAATGTAAAAGTAAAATGCGACAACAAAAAGGTTTGGATTTTCGCTGGTGGTAGATATTCATCTGCTTAGTATAGAGAGCTACATATCAAACCCGAAGTATCGACGTCTGTAGGACTTGTCACGGGCGTTGAAAACTGGCGTGAACTCATGAAGACGAGTATGAGATGAACTATTTACTATTGTCATCCGCAAAAATCGAGATGCGTAAGGTAAGTTTTAAATAGAATGTACTTGCCCTCTCGTGTTGTATCATAAGCTGAGTGACTGGACTGATGCACCTTCAATTACAAACTCTCTGAAAGCACAGCTCAGCTAAGTACAATACTAGGGCACTTCTACTTGATGGACAATCATTTTACATCAAAACTTATTATTTAAATATATTATGTTTTGATAAAAATAATATGATTATTATAAAGATATCTATATTTTTGTATTTATTTTTATATATTATTTAATAAAAATTATTCAAATTATTTTTAAAAAATTTATTTATTATAAAATATTGATTTAAAGATTCAAAATATTGGATTATTGAGATTTATAATAAAAATAAGTGAATTTTCAAGAAATTTTTGATATTAAGATTTCAAAGATATGTTGAAAGTTGTAGCACGTGCGCTACGCTACTGTACATATATCACTTCCACTTTATAGTTAGATTTTATTTTAATATAATTTAATCTACATAGTCAATATTATATGTATTCTATTAGTCTATTTCTTTATTATAAATAGATTATAAGCCTGATAGTTTTGTAATAAGATTAAGGTTGAAAGCTTTTTGAATAGTTTATATTGTTAAAATAGAGGTTAATAATAAAAGGCTTCTATATAATACGATATTAATATACAAAATGTGTATAGCAAATAGATTACTAAATAGTGATAATGAAATAATTATTTATATTGTATTTTTTTTCAAATATGATAGTAAAATAATTATTTATATTATATCCTTTTTTTAAGCAAAAGAACTATAAGTTATTATTAAAAGAATTACTTATTTCAGCTTAATATTAAAAAGTTTATTAACTACATAATATTTAATATCATTTTAAAAATCATTATTTATAAATCAAAATTCACTATTTTCGATTATCCTATTTTAAAGAGAATTTCTTTTTACAATATTAATATATTCAAAACTGAGGGAGTTTAATCAAAACAATTTCTTTTCCTTTTTTATTCTTTTATTTTATTATTAAAATATATACAAATTATTGATATAAGTTTTCTATTTACAAAACCTCAAAATGAATAAAGATACTGAATCTAAGGATTATTTCAAGTATATCTCTTTTTTTACTTAAAAGAATCATAAATACTAGATTTATCAAATAAGAATTTAATTTTAAGGAAAAGACTGATTCTATATATATAAAAAAACATTATAAGAATATATATAGATTACAGATGCTAATAGATTAGCTAAGGATTTCAAAAAACTTTAAATCTTTAGTAATAGTAATAATATTATAATAAAGATTCAATTTAACATTAATAAAAAAACTACCTTTCTTAAAAATAATATTAGTATATTATCTTATATCTATTATTTATTATCTAATAATAATAAAACTTTAATAAACAAATATAATTTAATAAAAAAACTTTGGAATTATTTAGTCATCAAATACTCCAGAATCGATAATATAATAGTAAACAAATATCTTCTTAAAATCAAAACCTTCTCTTTCGATAACATTTCTAATATAATTATTATAAATATATAAAATAAGCTCAAGGATTTTTAAAGAAAGCTTTTATCTACAAATACCTTAGCTAGAGCTTTATATATAAATAAATCACTTTTTTAAAACTTGATCTTATCTTTTTTTAATAAATATAAAGTTATTATTAATATAATTCATATTGTTAGTTTTATTTTAAATATTAATAATAAAATCAAGTATTTGTAGATTAAAAAAGCTGAAATACAAAACTCTAAAAATACGATATATTTTATAAAAAAAAAGAAATGTATTTTATTTTATTATTAGTATAAAGCTAATATAAGCTTAAAGTTTAATATATCTATTATTATTTGTAAATTTTGCAATAAATCTGATTATTTAATATTAAAATGCTTTTAGCTTTAATATATTAAATATTTTTTGAAATCCAATTTAAAGTATAAACAAAAGAAAAAACAATCTATTTTTTTATTATAAAAAAATAAAAAGTATAAAGAGTATAAGATTTATATTATTAAATTAAGTTTTAATATTATTAAGAATATTATTAATAATAAATCTGATTTTGAGTATTATTATTTTATTAAAGAAAATATTAATAAAGTATCCTTATTGTAATAATATACTAATATTAGTATTATTTTATATATATCTAATTAATATTCTCTTTTCAGAAATCTAATCTATATTTTATAATAAAGAATAATAATTGATAAAGGAGCTATATATTTAGATAAATAAGGAATAATAAATATAATATATAAGAATGGAATAAGAATATTATTAATTGAAATACTTTATATACCAGAATTAGGGGTTAATCTATTCTTAGCTAAGAGAATTTGTGAGGTAATGTTTAAGAATATATTTAGTTTTAAAGAGATATATTTTATATTAGAAAATAATAAGAATAATAAAATTATTAAAATTATAATAAAAAATAGAATATATATTATTTTATATATAAAATCAGAATACAAGGATTCTATATTCTTTATATTCTCTATAAAGATGATTAATAGAACAAAAGAGAAAATTAAAGAATTGATTATAATAAAAAAGAAAAGATATCTTTTTTAATATAAACAATTTAATTATTTTAATTCTAATAAAATCAGAAATCTATATAAAGTTATTATATTTCAGAGATTAATCAAAATTCCTTTAATTTTAAATATTTGTAAAATATATATTTTTACAAAAATAATTAACAAAATCCCAAGCTAATTAAATATACGAAAATCTAAAAAACTAGAATTGATTTACTTTGATATTACTAGCCTTTTTCCAAAAACTATTCAAAGATATAAATACTTTCTTCTTATTATCAATAACATTATAAAAATAAATTAAATTATTTTATTAAAACAGAAAAGTAATATAATATTCTTATTGAAAATCTAGAAACAGGAAATTAAACTTGCTATAAAAATAGCTATAATTATTACTAAAATCGATAATATATTAAAGCTTTTTCAAATTATCCAGAAATAAAAAACTAATATACAATTAGAGGTTATAATAATTATATTATTTCACTAAAATGATTTAACTAAATATAATATATATATTATAGAAATTGATATAAAAGTAATATTAAAGAAAGCTTATTTATTATTAAAATTTTGGGATAAAGTTATTGAATATAATATACATATTCGAAATTATATTAATATTAATTTAAATATAAATAGAATCGATTGAAGTCTATTTAAAGTATTTATAAATATATTATTAGATATTGATATATAAAAAATCTGAAAAAGTTGATATTATACTTATATTAATCCCAAAACTATTTTAATAGAATAAAAATATGATAAATTTTATAATATAACAAAAATCAAAATATTTCTAGAATATTTAAAAGATATTATTAAGTGTATAAAGATTTATTTATTAGAATTAGATTATATTTATTATTCTTATTATATTATAATTAATAAAAACTATAAAAAAAAAGATATAAATTTAAAATTCAGAAATTACATAGCCGGATTATAAAATATCAAGAATATAAAATCTAATTACAAGCCTTATAATAAACTCAAGAATATCCCTAAATCATTATTTATTTTAATTGATTTATTAATATTATTAAATAAAATAATTATAGATTCAATAAAAATACATTTATCAATATCAAAATAAATAAAATTAGAATATTATATTTTAATAAAAACAAATATGAAAATATTCAATAAATAATAAATGATTTATTAAAATCAAAAAAGAATAATAAAAAAATGAAGATTATATTATTTAAGATTATTTCAATTTTTGATTCTATATTACTAAATTTGATTATAACTTTATTATTTATAATATTTATATTTATATCTATTTTTATATTATTAAATTCAAGGTATAATCTTAGAAAAAGAAAAAGAAATAATAATAATAATATTAAAAAACATATCTTCAAGATTATTCAATCTCTATTTACCTTTTTAAATAAATTAATATTAAAATCAATTAAGTATATTATAATTACAATCCCAAATATTTATTAATTCAAAAGGAAAACAAATAATAAAATTATTTCTAAAATCTTAATCCTTTTGGAGAATACATTAATAGAAATTGAAACCACTTTACTAACAACAAAAATATTTAAAATCAAAATACCAAATATATATAAAAATATAATAGTAAATAAAAAGTATATAAAAGATTGATAAATTATAATTCAAAAAGAAATAAATTTATTAATTAAGAATAATATTTAAAAAGAATTTATTTTATTACAAAAAATAATTTAGTTTTAATAAAATAAATGTTTATTATTAAAACAAAAAAAATAAAATAGAATAATTTAAGGTTAAATTAGTAATTAAAGGATTTAGTTAAATTTTAAATAAAGATTATAACAAAACCTTTATTTTTATAATTCACCTTAATATTCTTTATCTTTTTCTTACAATCATTATAAAAGAAGATTTTGAATATTCCTATTTTAATATCAAAAATACATTTATCAAATTATATTTAAAAGAAAAAATCTATTTAGTATTCCTTTAAGATGTTTAAATTTATTAAGGTTGTGTTCTATATATATTTTGAAGTCTTTATAGGTTAAAGCAAGCTAATAGAGATTAAAATCTTTTTTTAAAAGGAAAACTAATTAAAATAGATTTCATACAAAGTCTTACAGATTTATATTTATATATTAATTATTTATAATAATCACTTCTCCTAGTTTATATAAATAATATTATTATTGTTATTATACAAAAACAGGATATTAAATGATTTTATAATAATCTTTCAGCTTGATTCAATATCAAAAATCTAGGAGAGATTAATAAGATTTTAGGAATATATATCATTCATAATAGATTTAAAAAAGTATTAATTATGAATCAAAAAAAATATCTGGATATAATATTTACTTATTTCAGAATCTCCTATAGTCAATATATTTTAAGAAAAATATCAATCTCGAATTATAATTAATTACAATCGACGCTTCCAGATAATAAGCTTACTAATATAAACAAATACCAGCAAATAATCGATAATACAATTTATCCTATAATTTACACTAAACCAAACATTACATTTAGTTTCAGGAGATTAGCATAAGCCATATCGAATCCTGCCAAACATTACAATATTATATTTAAAAACCTTATAAGATATTTGAGATTAACTATTAACCAGAAACTATATTTTGAACCTGGAGGAGTTTAATTAGATATTTATAAAGAATATAATCTCCTATAACAGACTATCAAAGTATATATTGATACAGATTAAACAAGTAACAGAATCAATCAAAAAAGCATTTCTAATAAAGTAATAATATTTTATAATAAATTAATCTTATGAATAAGTAAGAAGTAGATATTTATAGCTATATTTAATATAAAAACTGAATATATTTTTATAATAATGTTTATTAAACAAGGGCAATAAATAACTCAATTTTTAAGAGATTTAAAGTAATCATAATATATTAAAAACAATAGTAAAGTTTAAATATTAGAAAATAATCAAAAAGCATTAATATTAATTAAGAATCCTTATTTATACAAATAATCAAAGTATATTAACATATATTATCACTTTATTTGGAATCTTATAGAAAAACACCTAATTAATATTAGCTATATCAATATAAGTGATATGATTGTAGATAAATTAATAAAACTATATATAAGAATAATATTTGAGAGATTTAAGACCATACTAAGACTTCAAAACTAATTATAAAAATTAAAAGAGTAAACTCTCTAGAAAAGTATTAAAAGTTGTAATATATATATTATACTATTATATATATATCACTTTTATTTTATAGTTAGATTTTATCTTAGTATAATTTAATCTACATAGTCAATATTATATATATTCTACTGGCCTGCTCCTTTATTGTAAATAAGATATATAATATATTTTGTAATAATTTTAAAAAAGATTGAATGTTATATTCAATTTTATTGAATTATAAATTATTAATTATTTAAATTATAAATAAAAAAATTGTTTAAAAGAATAATAATTTATTTATTAAAAAGTAATAAAATGGCTTTTTATAGTGTGTTTTTGAGATCGATCAAATAGGAGTGCATAGTCACTGTAATTCAGTAGCATCTTTCTGAGGAAAGATGAAGATTGGGGATACAGGAAAAGAGGCCATTTGCTACCTGAGTGCTATGTTTCAGGTGATGCAGTGGCATTCAACAGCTCAAATATTGACAAATTAGAGGGACTCAGCTACCAGCAATTGATGAGGACCCTTTATGACGTAGATTGGATGTAGTTCTGAATCTTTTGGACCTTTAAAAATATTTTTTGTTCTGTCTAATACTCTTCCTTAATATCTTCATCAATCCACATATATTGTTCAGAAAAACATTATCGACATGATTGCTCCATGAACTCTAGGACAACCAAATCTCACAGACGTAACTCAATCATCACATTTTTCCAATCAACATTCCACGCCCGATGGTAAACACACATCCCCAGCATTCAACATCATCGAAGCATACATAAACGCAGCAGACTGCTGAACGGCTCCAAGAATCCCCGCCTGCCCCAATACAGCCTCAGCAGCTTTGAACGACGGCATATCTAACGGTCCTCTGGTCCGAGCTAGTTTCACAGCGACTTCATAGACAGCCTTTTGACGAGGTGTCACGCGTGACGGACAGTCTCCGGCTAGCATGCCTACAACTTGTGAGGCTGTTAGGCCTGCTTTCTCAGCCAAGATCTCGTGTGCATGAATTCCATATGTCGCTTTGGTGACTGATAAAACGCCGAGAACAGCACACTCAGCTTCGCTTGGGACAAGCAGGCCAGCCACGGCTAATTGCAAATTCACCCAAGGCTGTGCAACTGTTGGCGTGTAACTGATTTCGATATTAATTTGGGCATTTGATGAAAAGAATTTCCAGGACAATACTAACAGCAACATGTTGAAGGGTCCTTGAAGTGATCCATCTGCATCTTCCGTGACAATAGTGTTTTTGTATACAGCCTTTGTGATATTTGCCAGATAATTGTATTGAACAAGTTGAGCCTCATCGAGATTATCACTTGACGGCGTGAGAGGGGGAAACCTGATGGCACCTGTACAAGATGAAGATGTCATATTGCGGGATCGAGACGAAGCGGAACGGGGTATTCTAACGGATACGCCAAGAACTGAGGATACGCAAGGTGTAAAATTGAGAGCAGTACTCACATATTTGACTGGAGCGAGCCAATATGTCGAAAGAGGGGGATTGTTGTTATATAGACTAGCAGTAGAGATAGAAATCTGACATGTACATAACAAACAAGTGAAGCATGAAGATCACATGTGCATACAAGTAGATGAAGAAATTGAAGAAATTACATTGTGATCCGGTGGTCAAATAGAATCACCCCTGTTCAATATGTGCGGTCGCGGCGCAGAATCACTATCAAATCTTTTGAAAGCTCCACATTTGATATATGGATGCTGTCGTAACGCATTGCACTAGTATGTCATGAACTCTTGAGGTCTACAAATGAGCCCAGGGGTTAGCTAAGCTGATAACGACGGTGTCAAATTGGCCTCGACTAGCATGAGATACATATTGTACCAAATGCTAGAGAAACATAATTGCATTACATGTAGCTATTGAATGAAAAATTAATCCTTGTGACATTGAATGCATGGTTGTTCTCAATTCTTTCATGATAGCTCGCTTCAATCCAGGGGGAAAGTATCACTAACATCCACCCCAGCCAACCGTACCGCCCTCGGGGCTTAAAAATTAAAAAAACGCAGAGGGTATCGAACTTTTCCTTCAAAACAAAACACTCAAAATCATCAGATCCCATATATTGTCAAGGATGTTTTTTCCTCCTTAATTATGTGCAACATCCCCACTTAGATATATGCAATAATAACGCATCACATGTTATGTATAGTGCAGCCAATACAAGCGCAGTCGTCGCCACATGGACAAGTGTCCTTCTCCCCAGGGCAAGGAATATCTGGAACGCGATGAATAGTGCAGCCTAAACATTGGCAATCATCACCGCAGGGGCAGCTTTGAGTTTCTCCTCCACAGCCATCTTCCGCGCCGAAGGGATAATTTACGAAAAAGAAATCCGACGCTGAAAGGCTCTGTTCTTCTGCAGTTCCGGAAGTGGTACTAGAAGGAGTGGCGGGAGGCGGAGAAGTAGGGTTCTCCTTGATAATATCCTGTGTCTGGATGGACGTAGGTGCAATATTCCCATTCGAGTTGATACGCCCATGTGCGTGACCATTGCTGTACAGGTCCGGTTCGACCCGCATCGATTCCCAAGCTGAAAGGACGTATTGTCTTGTCGCATCGTTATATGGATGAGCTGCACAGCCAACACATTGGCAACCATCACCGCAACCACATGTATGAACGGTTTCGGGATTTTGGGCCATTTGAGTTGGGTCGAATGACAAAGGCGCGTTAGGGATAGATGGTTGTCCTTGAACATGTCCGTAACTCATATCGTGGACACCTTGGCGCCAGGCGGATGGCTGTAGTGGGTTTTGATAAGAACCATATGTAGCAGGATATGTAAAAACGGTAGGTGGGTATTGTGAATACATGGCATTATTCATCGGGAATTCATTTTGTGGTATTTGTGGGTTCATCATGGGAGTATTTGTTTGGGAGTTTTGAGTCGATGAGGGCTTCTTCTTTGAAGAACAACAACTCTTAGGTTTAGGTGTAGCTTGCGGGGGTTCAGACATCGTACTGGCATTCGAAGAAGTGTGACTGTGGGTATTTTGTTTGGGCGCACAGCATGAACCACTACCCGTAGCGACATTATCGATATGAGGTGGGGTTTCTGGAGTCGATGGTGCACAACAAGAACCACCATTCATTTTAGGAGTAATTTGGCCATTCTTCACTTCAGTCGGTGTTTCGAGAGGATCCTCCACAACTTGATCTAAGCTGCTGAGCCCATTCGTAAATCCATTTGTTCTGATATCTACTATTGGTCCTCCCAGTCCATGCATAGGTGGAGGCAGTTGAACAGGAACGGTGCCATATTGTTGTTGCATGATGGAATATTGTGGTGGACCATACCCATAGGGTTGAGGAGCAGTCGACATATGATATGCATTTGGGGGAATAATCTGCATTCTTTGGGTATGTTGATCGAAGGGAACTATATTGACTTGGTTTAAATCCATCCGTTCCAAATTCACAGGATCAAATGATTGTTTCCTACTCGACTGTGGCTTCGATGCTGTCTTTTGTATTTTAAATGTGAGTTGCGTCGGGGAAGTAGGGTCGGATATGGAGTTGACTCGTTGTATCGGAGCCGGAGGAGTCGAGACAGGTGTGTCGGTACCACAGTGGCATGCTTGCTTCCTTGGAATAGCAGCAGTAACACTCCCACAGTTACATGGTTGATCTTTCGAGTGAGGGCATGCACTGAGTGGTCTTCCGGGCTTCCTCACCGGTACCATCAGTCTCTCATTCGCGTGTGTACATTTTGTTGATCGATGGCCTCGAATACATGGCTCACTATGGTTATTTTATGTTAGCATATCGGAAACAATTGGTAGGTATATAAATTATATATAGGTGTGCGTGTATATATATATATATATTCTTGGTTTGCGAACCACTTCATGTGTATAAATTGATGAACACAACAAGGATGAATGGGTGAATGGGTCTCAACATACCAGGCCATTTTCAATCCATTGATTAACGGCATCTTCTTGACAATTGAAGAACTCTTGTAGTCGATCCAAAACTAAGTGGGCTGACCCGAATGGATAGACTTGAATTGAAGTGCAGGTAAATTCTTTCAGACAACCTTATCTCGATGTTGATTGTGTCCCGGGAATCGCTATCTGCATGCGCAACGACCGCACAGAGGGGAAATCGGAAAGATGATCAGCGTCTGACTTGTGCGACTGATACGGAGATGGATCCTGCGTGTTTCCGAAGAATCTTGAGTCCCCAAGGTATGGTTGGCAGAGGGGGGGGGGGGAGGTTTCAAGATGGAGTGAATTGTGATGAATCGATATCATGAGAAAAAGTCGAGGTACTACTGGTAGGTCGGGTAGTATGGATCCAGTGAAGAAAAGCTGAATTGAGCTTGATTTATTTTACTTCGGGTAGGTATAATAGGATAATAGGGTGAATTGAATATTTCTGGTCCAAAGTATGGAGGAGGGAGGGAGGAGAAGTGTTTGAAGCGATCCGAGCTGATGGTAGAATAGGAATAGGTAGGTCAGGTAAGGTCAGGTAAGGTCAGGTAAGGTCAGGTCAGGTCAAAGTAATAAGATGTTAGCAACAATGAAGCCTTGTTTGTTCTTTTTGACCAATTTTTATTGAGGAATTGTTTAATTGATTTTTCTCGAATTTGATTGTTCTATTCGTAAGGACAGGAGGATGATAGACTTGGACCACCAGGAGCGTGTGAATAAGAAGGCTTCCCTACGAATATTGAATGGAAGGCAAAGGCACTTGAGTTCCAGGTTACTCATGATATCGTAAGATCTCGATATGGTAGGTAGTAGATGTCGCGTATAGTAAGGATGTATGTTTGTATGTATGTAGTAGTGTAGTATACTCGGTATGTAGTGCGTAGTGCGTAGTGGGGTGAGTGTGTGAGAGTCAATATTGAATTGGAAGATGTGCCTCGAGTGTGCTCAACTGCTTTTGATTTGCTGGACTGGAAGAGGGAAGCGTGAAGAGGAGTGAAGAGGAGTGAAGTTTGGAAGAACCTTGCAAATCAATGAGCAAGTTTTGATTGGTGGCATTTATTGGCCGTGCGTTGGATCCTCTCAAATACTCGAGTATTGAGGATTCTCGGTATTCTTCTACATCTACATCATCAATACGAGATATGCTAATGGTCCGCTTTCTCTTATTGCTTACTACAAGTACAGAATCTTGTAGGAAGTACCTCGTACCAATATCTACCTTGGAATCGATCTTCACCACCTACCTAGTTTATACAAGGCGAAACAATGGAGTCGATTTGAAAACTGGGAAGGCTGCGCTAGTCCTCAGATCAGAGTTGAGATCCATGGATATCAAGATGATGTCTAACATTAACGTTGACTATTTATCTGTCTATCTGTCTTCCACTTGCCATAAGAATATCCGCTCAACTAATCACCCCTTGCGAGTATATCTGGGGGCAAGCCCCCAAACCCCCATAGCTCGCTTCGCTCGAAGATGTTTTCCATGTAACAGGTATCTAGCATTGAGTCTATAAAATGGTCAAATAGTCTAATAGTCTGCCTCCACGGCAGTGGCCCCCGGAGGGCCAGCGGAGCGTCATTTGTTTCATTGATGTAAGTGTATTTCCTAAGTCTCTGCTGTCAAAAGATTAGATTTTTAACTTCATCATTTCTATCTCTTTCATCCCAATACGTATCGTAGATGTCTGCTAAGTACCCTCTACCTACTCGTTCGTACATATTGGTCGTATTCTGCACTTGAGAAATTCTATCCATCAAGGTCATGTAGATCAACTACTAGAATTGGTGAACTGAATAATACACTATCGTAAGAGCAAGCCATGATCCATCTCGGCCGTCACCCGTGCCCGCATAAAAGTTTGATCTAATTCAAACCTTCAAGGGACCATTTTCATTCTTCATGCAAGCCACATCCTCTTCCATACCAACACTCACCTGGGCAATTGGAAATTTGGAATACAAAAAGACGACACCATGGTTCGCTTATCTTATCAGAAAGTACATCTATTGGTTGCTTCGATAAGTGGCTGGGTACCTAGCTGGGTGGCTGGCTTTGTATAAATGTCACAAATTTGCATAAATCTATCCTAGTCAACCCTGGTCTGCATAATGATGGTGGGGTAATATGAAAATATATTTTGCAATAAATACTCTCTGGGGTATCATATATTCCAAAACATTACCAGTAGGAGAGAAAGAAAACATTCAGAAACAACGAGACGACGAGACGAAGAGACGAAGAGCCGGCGAAACAACTTTAACTCAAAGTTACAGTTCTCTACTCTTCCCAAAAGCAAGCTTTCATAACAAGGTAAGCACATTTGACTAAGTACACATTGGGGTTGTGGAGCGAGTCTCCTTAACTCTATCTCTCTCCATTTCCATCTCCATTTCCATCTCCATCCCATCCATTCATTCATTCATTCATTCATTCATTCAAGCATCATGTTTCACTCAGAAACAGGTTTAGAAGTTGGGTTGGAATTGGAATGAGTTTATTCAATCTGATATTGTCAAACAGTAGGGATTTCACAAACCCTCTGACAAATCTTTCATCTCAAGCACTTCTTATTTTTCGCCATTCTCTCAACTGTCCCATTTCGTAACTAACACATTGACCTCGTTTCGTCTAAGAAGATTTCACACAAGCATCACAACTAGCACGTGATTACTTACTCAGTTCTATAATCTATCATGGCTGATTCGGATTTCGAAGATGGTCCCGATCTATTCGCCGAGCCGGAAGATTATTATCCTCCATCACCGAAACCAACCACAGAAACCCATACGTTACTTTCCGGTCAGACACTTACTCTTCATCTGGTCGGTCACAATCCACTTTGGGGTCATCATCTGTGGAATGCGGGTCGCATAATATCCAACTATCTGGAAAAGAGTCCTTCTCTAATTACTTCCAAATCAGTATTAGAGCTTGGTGCAGGCGCAGGTCTTCCAAGTCTTACTTGTGCCTCTCTACGTGCCAAAAATGTTGTGGTTACGGATTATCCAGATTCGGACCTCATCGATAATCTCAGAAAGAACATTTCGGTATTCTATGAGCAATTCCCTGAACTGAGAGTAAATGACAAGGAAAGCCTGGTTGCTGAAGGTTATTGCTGGGGCGCTGATCCATCTCCGTTGCTCTCACTTTTACCTTTAGAAGAAAAGGAGGCTGGCTTCGACGTATTGATACTCGCGGATCTTCTCTTCAATCATTCCGAGCACGCAAAGCTGTTGGATTCTATTAAGAAGACTCTGAGAAAGAGTAAGGATTCTACGGCCTTGGTATTCTTTACCCCATATCGACCCTGGTTATTGGAAAAAGATATGGCATTCTTTGACTTGGTACGAGAGGGAGGTATGACTGTTGAGAAGGTCTTAGAAGAGAAGATGGAGAAAGTAATGTTCGAAAAGGACAGAGGAGACGAAGAATTGAGAAGGACAGTTTTTGGTTTCGTTGTGAAATGGGCTGAGGAAGATAGTAGTTGATCATCAGCATATAGATAATTGATTCCGACAGCTGAGCAAGAAAGTTAGAAATCAGCCGGCCAAGCTGTACCTCGCTACCGAATTATGGCGAATTGGATTGTCCTCCCCGTCAATCACAGATCTTGAATATCGCAGATGGCAATCAATATGTCCTGCAATATACGCGAGAGTCTTTATGGCACGTACAGCCTACTGTTAGTCTATTTTGAATTGGGCAGATCGCAGAAGTCATTGCTGCAGAGTAGAACAAAAATCACTGATGGTTCTACTACCATGAATGAGTAGTGAGAACTCCGCATTTGGGCAATAATCATTTACACACACCCAAAAACCCACCTCCTTCAAACTGCCAGTGTATTCCAACAATCATCAAATAACAAATTCTCAACAACTTGACTCATTGCATTAAAATTTGCACATCACGAATTACGAATGAAGGAGCATGGGTGACATGAGCATGAGTTCCTGTGGCCGCCGATGTCAAGTAGATCCAAATTCGACGCAATGAATTCTGATCCCCCAAGTACATTCCTCCACTAGCCAACTTGACTACCTTCCAACTACAAACCCAGCCTTCCAGCTCCCCAAGATCTTTTATAAAACGAAGCTGCATCTTTGGCGCAATTACCATGGCATACTTTTGCATCTTCAGTGATCAACCCGTAGGAGGTTGACAGACGTGACAGAAAAGGTCAACGGGGTTTCCGTTCGCTGGAACACCGATGATAATGGTTTGCTCTTCCAACTTCTACTTAGATCCTTCCTTGATTGCTGTCTGGATCTATTGAACTCTGGTTCTCTATCTAAAGAAAACCCATAGAAGTGAGTCCGCTATAATTGGACTGAAAACTAAGCAGGGAGAGATGATCGCTTTCGCTTTTTCGGTATTCATCCAAGTGGGTGAAAGAGTGTACTACCTCGTTTTCCAATAAAATTATTCCTATACGCTTGAACCTTTTGCATTCTACATACCGTATGTATTAGTGTAAGTGTTTCTAGGTATCAATACCAAAGGTTGAGTAGACAGATTGACATGCAACTCCATCTTGGCTTCCCACGTGGGAAGATGGAGAATATTGCACACATGTCATATGTCCCCCATACAAATGATCAATTCGACAGTTCATCGGTGGTCTCATAGAACATTCGTCAGTAGAATTGTACCGCATCTGCTTTCGATCCAATTTCATGCCATGCCATTGGAACGTCATTGAATGTATCATCTATTTGCAGTTATCGAAAATCTCATGGAAGCAAGAGAAGCAAATGACTGAGGTTTGCTTAGAACTGTTATCAGTTAATTGTGAGAATATGAACAATAATCATTCACTTCATCGAAGATTTCGCAGGCATAGAGGGGTAACATGATATCCGCATGCGTGTGTAACAGTGACAGTGACAGTCACAATTGGAAATTACAAAAGGACGATTTTTTCCAAGTACGTGGTCTGAGTTCGTAAGGAATGCAGCGCTAGGTGATTTTTAAACCCCGATATTGCAAGACATTTCTCATTAAAGATTTAAAGATCAACAGATCTCGCATTGCAAGCGTTCTCCTTGGAGTTTTTTTTATGGTTTCGAGTGAACATTTCTTTGTCCCAAAACAAGCGGGTGTTTATACGAGAAATGTGTTTTCGTCCCAGCTTTCTTAGGATGTCAAAAACTATGCTTCTTTGTCCTCAAAACTCTCGAATAGATCTTGAATACGAGTCTTACGATGTATCTTCCACTCTGACCTACTGTTCCAGTAATTGTATCAATCCACCTCGCACGAAATATGATGTTCCTATGTTCTCCTTCGACGAGAAGAACTTCCAGTGATTCAATTGTTCTCGATGAAAGCATTGATAGATCAATGGACAGATGGCAAATCTCTCAAGAGATTGCTTAGCTCGGTGTTCATTAAAGGTGCTCGATCAAAGCAGATATCTGATTCCACAGCCAAGCCTTTGCCCAGAATTAACGCGGATTTTGTCCCTGAGCCAACTCAGACAGCAACGACATCAACTTCGGCATATCAGGACTCGAGCAGAAGAGAGACCTCATCAATTTCTACATTCGGAAGCGAGTTTTTGAGAAGAATAAGAGCAAGTAGAATAACTCCTAATGCGGATAGTCCTCTTCGAAGGGAACCTCTATCGCCTTCCAGCGTAGTGTTAACTGATGCCACATCGCTTTCATCTCCACATCAACAAGATCGTAAGAAAGGTCGTACATGCTCCTGTGAGCCGCCGGTATCAATCATTGACCTGGAAGAACCACCAGGGCGAGCACCTTTGACTGCAAGGTACCCCGAGATATTCACCTATATAGGACGAAATGGCGTCCCAAATTCTGCTCTAGCATTGACAAATGATATTGTGAGGAATTTGAACGAGATATTCTACCTAGAGGGGCGGTTCAATGATCATACGAGGATCATGAGTCGATTGGATGATGAACGTGAGTGTGTTGAGATGACTTTGAAAGAACTCAATCAATTACTTTCATCGTCAGGTGCCACAGCTCAAAGTGATCGAGATGCGAAATCGGAAGAATTGAAGTATCTTTCCAATATTTCCTCGCGTATTCAAGAACAAAAGCTGGAGTTACAGGGAGCTGCGGAACGCGAACATGAAGAACTAAAGGAGCAAAGAATTATCTTATTTAACATGTTCAGGGACGTTTTCAGGGATCGAAATCTTCTAGATCTAAGAGGAAAGAGTTCCCGACCGAATCAGTTCTATCGCATGCCGGCCACACAACTCGTACCTCTACATAAAACACCTCGAGTTTCCACCCACAGTGAAGAAGCTCGAGAACGAGTCAAAAGGGAACAACGAGAAGCTGTGGATCATATGAAGGACATGGGATATCGCCTGGAAACAATGCATCAGCGACTTGATAATTGGAAACATTATTACGAAGAAGAATATAAAGAATATGCACGTGCGGTTAAGAATGGAACAATGGAGCCTGCGAGGAGTTTCTTCGATTTGACTCTATTGCAAGAACATCAGGGGGCGATTGAGGGAGTTATCGAGGCGGAGAATGACTACGAGAAAGCAAGGGGACGAGTAAAGGTGTTGGATGTGGTGCTCAGTGATATTTATCAGTCTAGTGGGTTTGCAAACTGTCCAGATGATGGCTATAGGATCTCGATGGAAGAGGCTATGGTTGGTGATGTGGATAGAGAGTGGATTCTAGATTGGATGGAAAGGAACGATGAATCGGTAGAATTTGAGGCCGATGAAGACTTATGGGAAGCAAAATCAATTGGTTTGGATGATAGTGTCAGCGTTGTTGCGAAAGGAAGAGAGAGAAAAAGAATTGATAGGTGGGCAGAGATGTGTACGGCAGTTGGGAATGACTTTCCAGAGTTGCCGAAAGTGGTGCATCATAAGCCTGCGTCTGAGCCCAGCCAGAATGCTTCGATATTGCAAATCAACGATCCAGATAGCGGATCCTAGACTTGCTGCTACTCAGTCTATCACTCTTATATGTCTAATTCTGCACTTAAACTGTAGACAGCACTCCTTGAATCAGTCACAATCTTTTTTTTTTTTTTTTTTTTTTATCTCTAGCCATGTCACGCAAAAGGATTCCGAGTTTCCAATCTTCCATGTATTCAAACTGTGTAGTAAAATTATATTCATGCTATCATCTAAAATATGAGTATCTAAAATTTGGTACACACCTTTGTCGTGCGAAAAGAGTGTAGTGCGGCTTACTAGAAGATGCCGATTTTCATTCGAGAGCACTTCCAATTTAGTAGAACAAAGGAATCAAACTTAGCTAGCCACAAAGAGAGAACACGAGAAGGATCGCAATCTAGAAGGAAAAGACGTTCGGAGAATTTCAATTCAATCAATCATGTTTCGATGACTGATCGGCTTCTAGGCAAAGATCAGACATCTGTCACAGTTTTTCAATTCGACATTACCTCGGATTGTGGGAGGATATTTACTGAGGATATTATATAAGTACCTACAGACATGGACGGGTTTTCTAATTTTACACATACTGGTGAAACCAAGTAGAACGGGACGACGATTCAATGTTTTTTTGTGCTCCTGTATATCCATATGGCCTCATAGTCCTCAGACTTAACAGCTGGTCATAGATCTGATGGATAATGGCTGATGTCAATATTGTTGCGCTTCCCGTTTGCTACGGCATTTTTGCATCTCTGCTAGCCCTTTTGCCCAAGCTCCGTCTACGAGTAGCACTCATGCGAGTAAACCCCATACAGAAATTGAGCGGAATATAGAATGGTCACCTATGATCGAATTTAATATTACCGGGGGTGTAAGGATATCGGAAATTCCATGGTCGTAAGTCTGAATGGTGATATCCAACCTACTTCGTTAGTTATCCTTGCAGTCACATATATCTCATTCAAAAATCAATCGAAAACTTGGACTAAGCATGTAAGACAAAGTCAGTTCGCCTAGATTAGGCAGCATGGTTTTGGCAAGAAACCCGTTGAATGGTGAATCATACATCAGTGCTTTTTAATTGGATACTAGTGCCACAACCAAGTTGAACATATTCAACAATATAAACACTACTCAATGTAAAGAACGTTTATGGTTCGGGTTCTTGTCCGAGTTTCTTGACTTCTTGCCAAGCTGGACCTGGATCAACCCACGTTCCGGCTTCTATCCCTCTGTTTCTGGCCTTTATATATTTGACAACTTCATCTGTATATTCGATAAGATCAACTTCCTCCCCCCCCTTCTCGAGTATATTCCCTTTCTCTTTCTCTCTGGGTAGCCATTCATCGTAAAACATCTCAAATGCTGTTGGGTTCTCTTCACCCAGCAAATACAGTGCCGTCTCTCGTTTTTCCCTTTCAGCTTCCTGGTTTTTCTTAGCTACTAGTTCATTCCGGTGTAACAATTTCTCTGCTTCCAATCCACCGGGCTGGAGTAATTTCTTGAGCCTTTCTTGTGAGAAATTGTATTCTTTTGCGAAATCTTTCTTGACCCCTCGGATTACTTTGTCTCCAATCCATTCAGGCAGTGCCCTGAACAAGTCCATATTGAGCTCTCTTTCTGTGGCCGGACCTTGGAGTTCTTGTAACAGTTCTCTGGCGGATGGCCTTTTCTTATGATCAAGCACTAAGGATCTTTGAAGCATGGCTTCAAATTCTCCACTGTACAGATGGTCGATGGGCTGGACCCTTCTGGGATCCATTGTAATCAATGTCTGTTGTTCCTCCGTGAGATCTGCAAATTTTTTGTCTTTGGGAATAGCTCTCTTAGTGGTTGTTCTTTTCAGAGAAGCTAGGGAGTATATGATTGAGCCAGCACGCCAGATATCAGTTTTGGCACTCCGCCAAGTTAATTCGGGAGGGTTATGCTTGTAATCAAGGTCGGCTTTGTCGGAGATGTCCTCTGAAAATCCACCTCCGAAATCAACAAAACTTGCTTCTCCGAAGTCTCCTAACTTTATGTCCGGATACACGAGACTTGGCGACGCGCCCTCGGGCCATGAAAGATATATATTCCCGGCTTTTAAGTATGGCATGATGATTGACTTACGCCCTTTGTGTAAAGGATCGTTCTCGTACTTCGGATGATCATTGTGGAGAAAAGCCAGAGCATCAATAACGCTGTGATAGAGCTTCCACAAAAATGCTTCGGGTGGCCGTTTTTGACGGTATTTGTAAACTGCACGAAATTGTTTGACAGTGCCAGCGTCACAAAGCCTGTAAAATTGGGCTAATATGAGTTTACCCCTATCATTGCGGTATTGATGAAAAGCTTCAAGCTGTTTGATAGTTTCATGACCTTTCTTAATAAACCGAAGATAAGCTTTTATTTCGGTTTGGTGTTTAGCATTGTGGCTTTTACTGGCGATCTCGCTTGGTGAAGTTGCTGCGTCTTCGCTAGCTGGAGACAATGGGGGAGAAATCCTATCGCCTGTCTCATTTGTTATGACACTCAGCTTGAGGTCAAACTGAGGTCCGGTTGGATGCTGCGTATCTGTGATTCCAAATTGAATAGTTTTATCATAGCTGCGCAAGTAGAAATCAATCCGGATATTCTCAAGCTGCAAGGCAAGGTCTGGTCTATAGGGGTTCTTTCGAAGGTTGATGGTGGGAATGACGCGTAAATAATTAACGGCCTTGCTCTCAATTTCGAATGGTGGAGGCATGATGTTGGTTACTCAGGATACGAGTTGTTCCATGTCAAGTATAGATATTCAAGTTTGATGATTTCTACGTTATTTGAGGATAAAGCCTATTGAAACTTTGAATGAACGATGCGACTGTTGTTAAAGAACTTAGGTATACGATATCCGGAAATGTAGAATTCCCTTTGTTCTTTGATTCCTATCTACCTAGAAATATTACTGAAACAATGAAACGTTATACGTAATTATATTCATCTCAATGAACCTTGCTAGAGCTTTAATATAAGATAGTATTAAATATTTTCTTTAATCTAGTTAATGAATTCGGAGGATTAACGGAAACCGATTGATGTTATATTATATAAGCATAATTATCTCTATAATCATACTATTGTTATAAAATATAAGTATGAAATCTTTTCTAATTAGTTATAAGTGATGAAAAAAACTTTGAATTAGTTAGAGTTTAGTTTTTCTAATTGAATAGAGACGAAAGTTTATAAAGTTATTTCAATTTGATATATAATTTTAAATAAATAAATGAAATCGTTGAAAAGAAGTAATTAGATTAAAGTAATGAAAAGTTTTTGAATATTATAATTACCTAGTTTTAGAATAAGTTTTAAAAAAGTAGTAGAATCAATTGATTGAATTGAGAGAATTAATAAATATATTTAAAGATATATTTATAAGTAGAGATAGAAATATATAAGATATAATTGCTTTAGATAATTCTCAATATTAGAATCTAAAAATGATAATTTATAAGAAAACAAATAAGAAAACAATTTTAGAAATAAGAAACAATAATTCTTTTATAAATTGTAAAATTATAAAATCTAAAAAATCTAAAGAATCTAAAGAATCTAAAGAATCTAAAGAATCTAAAGAATCTAAAGAATCTAAAGAATCTAAAGAATCTAAAGAATCTAAAAAATCTAAAAAATCTAAAGAATCTAAAGAATTTAAGAAATTTGATAAATTTTTTTAAAAAAAATACCTTAACGGAACAAGCTGGAATATAATCTGGTGGAAGTATGGTGCTAGTATTAATGGAGTGATATTTCCATTATACTAGTAATATTTCTATGGTTTCCGAATTCTAAATGGTATTCGAAAAGTTAAACAGTATTTGAATCTCTGAATAATATTCGAATAATGTTCGTATTATATTCAAATCCCTGTATAATATTAGTATTGTATCTAATCAGGGATTTAGAAAAAAAAGCTTTTAATAAAACACTATTAAAATAAATATTAAATTAATTATATAATATGATAATAATATTAAAACTCTAATAAAAGAATTTTATAATAAATTTTATAATATTAATAAAAAAAGTAAGAAAAATTATATTATATTTAATACTAGTTTTATATCCCTAAAATCTGATTTATATTATTATTTCAATGATTAATATGTATAATTTAAATTCTTCAAAATTAATAAATTATGTATTTATAAGATTATATTTATATAATAATTTCAAATGAATATAATTTATTATATTTAAAATAATACCTTAATATAATAAATAATAACATTTTAAAAATATTGATTAGTAATCAAGCTATATTATATTTTATAATTATAATTTTCATGTTTTTTCGAATAATAGTTTTTTTTACTCAAACCTACTTTCAAAGATTATTAAGTACTTAGTATTATAGGTTTATTAAATATTATTTTTTTAGATTTGTATTATAAGCCCTATAAAAACTAGCTTTAAGACCTACAAAAATTAACTATAAAAATTTGAACCTATAATTTTAGGGCTTATAGGGGCTAGCTATAAAGCTTATAAGAACTAGCTATAGGGGTATACGAGTAATACTTTAATAACGCGTCAAGCCCAAACAATACTTTTATTATATCAGAATTATATATAGTATTCAATCAGAGTATAGTGGGGATACCGTTCCGTATTCCTACTTGGGCTATTAAGATAATCAAAATAATCAGAATAATCAAAATAAGAACATAATAAATATTAGAATAATAATAATAGTAGTAGTATTTATTGATATTCATTAAATCAGTATAAGACTAATTGCAACAACCTTTTAAAAAGTATAGAGATATATTAAGCTATGAATCCACCAGTGATTGCACGAACTCATAGGATACTTTATATAGCTTTAAAAAACAGAAAATAAGTATATATTATAATTAAAGAGCTAATAACTATTACAATTTCGATTGTATATATCCTCTATCAATATCAATAATAATTCTATATTCATTAAGCAATTCTATACATCTTTTTGAACTTATTTTTATATAATTTTATTTGATTTATTTTATATAAACTTCTTTAATTTATTCAATATTTTCTATTATCTTTCTTGAATTTATTAATTTAGTATATTTTAAATATTTTTTATTGAATCCAAATCGAACAAATTAAAAGAATAAAATAAATTTTTGATTTTGTATATATCTTTAAGTTTTTATATAAATCTTTATTTAAGAAATCTATATAAACTATTATCATCCTTCATTAAAAGCTATTTATATATAAAATCTTTTATTTATAATATCTCAATTATTTTTATATAAATTAAAAGAAATCTTTTGATATAATATTCTTAAAATATAATTATTTTTTCTTTTATTCTTCAAATCGCTTTTTATAATTTTTAAAACTTTCTATTTTAAAATATTTTCTAAATTTAATATCAAATTTAGATTTATTTATTTATTTCTCTTCATCTTTATAAAATTCAAGCTTTTCAATTTTCTTATTAAAAATAATCTATATTCTTTAATAGATTTAATTACCAATTAATAAAAGATATTTTAATATATTCCTTAATTTATATCGAATTTCAACTTTTTATAAAATCTTTTTCTTTTTTATAAAAATAGAATTCATATGTATTTTGTTTATATATATAATATATTTCCAAAATCCTTTAATAATATTACCTTAACAATATAAGCTGGAATATAATATAGTGAAAGGACAATGCTAATACAATTCTAATAGTATTTCTACAATACTCGAAAATTGAAATAATACTCGAACCTCTGAACAATACTAATATCATACCTCAACCCCTATACTATATTAATACTATACCCAATTAGGGATTTAGAGAAAAAAAGCTTTCAATTAAAATATATTAATTATATTAAAATTAATATTAAATGAATTATATAATATAATGATAATATTAAATCTTTAATATAATAATAATATAATAAATTTTATAAAAAAAATTTAAAAAAAAAAATCCTATTTTATTTAATATTAATTTCATACCCCTGAAATTCGATTTAAACTACTATTTTAGAGATTAATGTATATAATTTAAATTCTTCAAATTTGATAAATTATATATTTATAAGACTATATTCATATAATAATTTCGAATTTATAAAATTTATTATATTTAAATTAAAGGTTTAATATAATAATTAATTATATGATATAAAAGTTGATTAGTAATCAAACTATATTATATTTTTTAAATAAAAATTCCTTTTTTTGAAATAATAGCTTTTTTGAGCCCTAGACCGACTTTACATTACTAAGCATTTAATACTAAAAGCCTAATAGGATTTTTTTTAGACCTATATTATAAGCCCTATAAAAGCTAGCTTTGAGATCTATAGGAATTAGTTATAAGGATTTGAGCCTATAATTTCAAGACTTACAGAATATAACTATAAGAATACTATAAAGACTAGCGAATAATACTTTAACAATACACCAAGCTCAAACAATACTTTCATCATATCAGGATCGCATACAATACCTTAACGGCACAAGCTGGGATATAATACGGTGGAAATACGGTACTAGTACGGTTCTAGTAGTACTTCTACAGTTCCCGAACCCTGTACGGTACTCGAACCACTGAACGGTACTAGTACCGTACTCGAACCCCTGAACAGTACCCGAACGGTACTAGTACCGTACTCGAACCCCTGAACAGTACTCGAACGGTGCTAGTACCGTACCTGAACCCCTATACGGTACTAGTACCGTACCCAATTAGGGACTTAGAGAAAAAAAGCTTTCAATCAAATTATAATAAATTTAATATTAAATCAATTATATAATATAATAATAACATTAAAACTCTAATATAATAATTTTATAATAAATTTCATAATATTAATAAAAAAAGTAAGAAAAATCGTATTTTATTTAATACTAGTTTCATACCCCTGAAATCCGATTCATACTATTATTTCAGGGATTAATATATATAATTTAAATTATTCGAATTTAATAAATTATATGTTTATAAGACTATATTTATAAAATAATTTCTAATTTATAAAATTTATTATATTTGAAATAAAGCCCTAATATAATATATAATAAGACTATATAAAAGTTAATTAGTATTCAAGTTATATTATATTTTTTAATTATGTTTTTTGTATTTTTTCGAATAATGACTTTTTTTGCCTAGACCCACTTTAAAAGATTACTAAGCATTCAGTACTGGAAGCCTAATAGGATTCTATTTTTTATTTTTTTTAGGCCTGTATTATAAGCTCTATAGAGCTAGCTTTAGGGCCTACAGGGGCTAGCTACAGGGGTTTGAGCCTATAGTTTCAGGGCCTACAGGGATTAGCTACAGGGATGCTACAGGGCCTAGCGAGTGGTACTTTGACAGTGCGCGAACCGTACTTCCACCGTACCAGGATCGAGTACAGTATCCAATCAGAATACAGCTCAAACACCGTATCCCGTAGGGATACAATAAGAGTACCGTTCTATATTCCCACTTAGACCATTAAGATATACTTCTATATATTACCAAAAATAATATATTTTCAATAATTTTAATTAATAAATTATTTTTCTGAATAAATAGTTTTATAATACTAACCTTAATTCATAAACCTCTTTAAATTCTTTTATAAAAAACAATATTTAATTTTTAATTGAAAATAATAAATTATTACTTTATAAAATTCAATTTATAATTTGTTTTAAAAAAACAAAACAAATATTTTACAAATATTCTTATAGATTAATACAAATCCTTTTAATTTATTT